ATTAAATATGTATGTAGACATAATATCATCTAAACATTGTTTGACGATCTTTACATTATTTTATGAGATATTACATTATAAGAGCAAATTAGGATCACCAGGATCACCTGATATTAAGCGATCAGCGACGCCTTTGGACACCTGCAACAACAGAGGAGTCACAGGTGAGTTGCCGGCCTTTGAAGAAGGAGTAGGTACACTCATTTCTTGAAGGTTTGTAGATCATTTGGTTTGGAAATACCGTCGCCAAAAGATCATTCGAAAGTTTTGCTGTGCGAGGCAGAAAGATTCCCAAAAACTGTAAAACAATACTATGCTACTACTATATAAAATATATACTAACTATAAGAAAATACCTATAGTATTATACCTATACTATCTTCATTCTTTATAAGTGTTTGATAAAGTTGAAGCACGTTTAAATTGCATTTAATAAATGCTCGAACACGGCTATAAAACGTGAAAACAACACAAAAACAAACGAAACAACCTCGTAAAAATAATAAAAGCGACCCACTAATATATATGTAAAACAAGCAACATTCACTTGAAAAGCTAATTGTTTCATCAGATCCCACACAAGTTTTTATCAGATTAATCAATTAACAATTAACATAATCACATTAAGCTGGCAACATCGATAACGTACTTAATTTTATCGATAAACCCGAATGTGTTGACTCATCACTTTGATCTGTGACATTTGTTATCGATAGTGGTTACAACACTAGTTTATAGCGCCTTAATTAGTGTTGTGTAAGTGATCTCTAGTGCGGGCAATAAAATTCTAAACCAGAGTTGTAAAATACTAGACGATACGTAATTAGTAACGCTTTAAACTAAAAGGGAAGATACGGTACAAGTATATTTGTAAATCAAATCAAATCATCAGCCTATAAATGTCCACTGCTAAGCAAAGGCATGCTAAGCAAAGCTAAGTGTGGGGGAAGGGGGCAGCCAAGCTTCGGTACGAATGGGTCTGCTCGACCGGAGTGATGCCACAGCCTCACAGAAAACCGGCGTGAAACAACCACAGTGTTGTGTTTCGCCGTGTGAGTGTGGTTACCGGAGGCCCAATCTTTCCCTCCCCCGATCCCTCCCCAATCCCTTAATATCTAAAACCCTAATACCTAAAAGGTTGGCAACGCACTCGTAACTCCTCCGTTGGCGGGTGTCCATCATGGGCGGCGCTGATTGCTTACCATCATAATGAATAATCTGATAGTTTGCCGTTTTTTTTACATAAAATTAAAAAATAAGGCCTTCTCACATGGAGAAGAAGAACCACTATACAACACCTGTACCTAAGCCATGCCAACACGCCATAAACAGGTTATAGAGACATAAATCACAGTCTTGAATGAAATAAATGAGCCGACTTTGAAGAAAAAAAGGTTTGGCAGAATAGTTTGCTATCATTAGTAGCTACCATTACGTGCTAAGCTGTCCTTTACTAAAAACAACAGCCTATAAAACTCAATTGTGGGAGTATCAAGCTTCGGCACGAATGGGCCGGCTCGACCGGAGTGATACCACAGCCACGGCCTCACAGAAAACCGGCGTGAAACAACTTTAGCGTTTTGTTTCCCCGTTTGAGTCAAGTTACCGGATGCCCTTATCCCTAAAAGGCCGGCAACGCACTCGTAACTCCTTTGGTATTGCGGGTGTCCATGGGAGGCCTTGTTGACTGCACGGCTGGCGTAGTGGCTGGGCAACTGGCTGTTGTGCAACGTATCGCGGGTTAGATCCCGCACGGAATAACTCTTTGTGTGATTCACAAATTATTGTTCCGGGTCTGGCTGGTTTGTGTAAGTGAATATGTATCTTGGTAGACAACGACACAGGAGAAAATATAAGTGTATACAAGAAAACAGCGTGCTCTTTTGCCGACCATAAAAAAACTCGGATTACCAAGACCTCTCATCTCGATAACACCACCTCACTATTCTGTCCATACATTGTAAACGTCAACCTTCCATATTCGGGTGCATCGAGAGCTTCGAGAGGCTTACAAACATGGCCGCCTGTAATGTGGGCACAGCTCTTGAAATATTGCACATGTGTCTAATTAAATTTTATTGTCAGATGTTTTCTTTAGGGTCGTTTTAAACATAGGTCTCTGTTTAAGGGTGTATGGTTATTTAAATGGTTTGGCTTATCATTTTTGTGGGTATTCTTCTCAAGTTTTTTTGCCATGTAATTGGGTGGCAAACGATTGCATTATCTTTATGATGAATATGATGAATATGATGATTGATTTATCTTTATTAAGTGTGAGAGAGACATGCAAAAGGATTGGCTTGTCTGGAGTGGTGCCACGGCCTTACAGAAACCAAAAACCGAGGCCCAATCCCTCCTCTCACCTAAACCTTTTTTTTTAAAAAAACCATTGCCCCCCACTAGGATTTTCTCCTCTTACGTGGGTGCGTTTACAAAGTAAACATTAAATTTCACATATACATGACACCCAGACCCGAAACAACAATTTATGGATCACAGAAAGTGTTGTTCCCTGTGGGAATCGAACCCACGACACATTGCACGGCAGCCAGTTACCCAGGCACCGTACCAACCGTGCAGTCAGTCAATTAGGTAGTCAATCCTTAAATCGCCAAATCCCTTATTCTTAAAAGGTCGGCACGTCAACGTTTCAATACATTAAAATATTGAAAAATAACTATACTTTTATTCAACGATCGATCAATTCACTAGATTTTAGACATTTTTTTAAGAAATATTTATATTACCTATTTGACGCATGAATACTATAACATCATAACTCAGTATTTCATACAAATTTCATAATAGAAAAGTATCGTTTTTGACATTTGGATAAAAGTATTGAATTTGACTAGTTGGAAACTACCGTCCATAGAGTATTAGTTTAGAGAAAATGTTTATAGCAAGGTAGAATATTTAGACAATGTGTTAAATAGATAGTTGTAATCTTTAGTTAGCGAGTCGAGCCAGTGAACCGAGGTTGGTACGATATCGGCGGATTATTCCCGAACGCGCGCCTGATTGTGATAAACGTCACACGCCATCACACATTCGTGTTAATTTTATTTTGGTAAACTATAGGTTTTAGATGTGTGTAATAAAGTCAAATCTAAGTCACAACAGAAGTTACTTGAAGTAATTGAATAGAGAGAGCACTTTTGAACGACAAAAAAAATGATATTCACTTGTCTACTATTCAAATGTTGGAAAGTGCTAGTCCATGGGTCTGTCCTCTAGTGAAGCTATTTGTTCTTTTTTTTATGTAATAAGTCGGCAAACGAGCAGACGGATTACCTGATGGTAAGCAATAAACGCCGCCCATGGACACCCGCAACAGAGGCGTTACGAGTGCGTTGCCGACCTTTTAGGGATTAGGAATTTGGAGATTTAGGGATTGGGGAAGGGTCCGGGAAGGGGAAGGATTGGGCCTTCGGTAACCTCACTCACACGGCGAAACACAACGCTGTGGTTGTTTCACGCCGGTTTTCTGTGAGGCAGTGGTATCACTCCGGTCGAGCCGACCCATTCGTGCCGAAGCATGGCTCTCTCACACTTAACCTTTCTACAGTTCGTACCAGAATGCAGATTCCTATAAAGAAGAACGTGCAAGAAACTTCATATATAGTTTCTCTTTTTTAATCAGTTGTGAAACTGATGAGTTCTTAAATTCTTTACGAACCGGTTCGGAGGGTGTTTTTGAGTCACTAAGAACCTCAAACTTCCTCTCGCCACAGGGGACTTCGTCCACCCAGGGTAGAAGAATATCGTGTAATCATTTTGGACTAGGTTATGTAGGTACCTACTAAGACTCTTGTAAGTAAAACTCTGTTGGGAAAAGTTTTTCTGGAATAAGGACCTCGTGAAGGCAAACAGGACAGTCTCAGTCGTGGTGGCTTGAAGGTTAAGGCACCCGCATGTCATGTATGAGAGCTCAAAACCTGGCAAGTACCAATGTGACTTACCAAGTTATATGTACTTTCTATGATAATTTAGACACCACTGACAAACGGTGAATGAAAACATCGTGAAGAAAGGTAGACTTATAATTTCTAGTTTATCTATTACTTTCAAATCGCCAATCCGCCTTGAACAATGTGTGATTAATGCTCAAACCTTCGCCAGGTGAGAAAAGACCTTTATTGGGCACTTATAGGCTGATGATGATGATGATAATGGTGACAGACAAATATAGTTCAGGGCATCCCTAAGCTAAGTGGAGTGATTATAAGTATCTGTCGTATGGATTGTAGTAATTAGATGCCTAGAACCGAAGATCGAGCGCAGTGGCATGCAATTGGACAGGTGTAGCGACAACTATCGCACAACAAGAACAACGGCACCAATCACGTGCAAGATTCTACATCGCGCAAGTGAAGTTTACGCGCTAATAAGCACCTATAGAAAAATCCCGACAACAACCGTCGGGCAGTAGCCCACCAGGCACGAACACCGCGCCTGGTCGGAGAATCCTACCTTTTCAATGGAGGATGAGGAACCTTCCACTCTGTTTCTCATACCTCTAAACATTCAATTGTCCAGCAGTAGAAGGAAAGGGACTGATGACGATGTCCTCTAACTGTTACCAAGTCTGAAGAGACTGTCAAGTGAGGCGGTTTATTTATTTATTTAATACTTCTTGCACAATCGTTGCACAATTGCGGACTTAATGCCGAATGCATTTTCTGCCAGTCTAACTCAGGGTATTACAGAGACAGGTTATGGTACTCTTGCTCTTATAAAAGAGAGGTACCCAATCAATCAACACTTAACAACACATACCCAAAAATAGAATAAATATTCATACGTAGATATAGTATAATATATATATATATATATATATATATATATATATATATAATCTTACGATATCATTATGGCGGTGTAGGTACCTACGACAAAACCTCTGACGGATTAACTTTTAACTGTGAACGCTTTCCAGCGAATAATAATTATTATTGATTCATACACAAATTCATTTCAACACATTAATTTTGTTTCAGTCAAAATGCGTTTCATCATATCCGCCATGTTGTTACTGTCAGCCATCTTGTCGTGCGCAACGCAGGCGCAGTACCCGCGGCCTCGTCGTCCGGAACGTTTCGACACTGCTGAGCAGATCTCCAACTATCTCAAGGAATTGCAAGAGTATTACTCCGTACACGGGAGAGGAAGGTAAACATAATTATGACCATAAGATATGATATAAGTATGATAAGATAAGATTTACAGGAGTTGCAGCGGTTTGAGAGGTTACGGCGGACTTGTCACATAAAAACAATATATTATGAGCTCTTCATATATTGTAAAAAATATATGTTTAAAACAAGTAGACTTAGAATTGATCACGGAATACCTGATGGTAAGCAGTTAGAGTTGCATGCAGCTGCAGCACCGGAAGAGTGCGTTGTTGGCCTTTTGGGGCTTAGGGATTATGGGGAATTCAGGATGGGTTGGGGATAAGGCTAGGCTTCTGGTAACCTGCGATATAGGAGAAAATACTATTGAAGTGTTACTATAATCATTCTTTGAGGTATCCTGCTCGCAATCCTGTTAGCTTAATTATAAAAGTAAAATTTTTACATGCACCACGCTGGGCGCCAAAAAATGTGTTTTGTTTTTGTAATATAAATAACTTTATTATCAGCGTTTGTACATCAATGTGAAGTTATAAAGTTAAGTCCTGATAATTTAACATCAATGCAAAAAGCAATTTATGCGTACTACAAGACATTATTATAAGTCCCACGTTGGGTGCCAATACCTTTATGAATAAATAATGTAAACCTCCAACGCCACTGCTTTTAATTCATAATTTCACTAACCAATTTCAAAAGCAAATTAGTTATGATAATTCTCAGTAGATGTCACTATTACAAATACAATTTTAAGATCAAACAACGCCATCTATTTTCATGTTGTTAAACTACGTTTCACATTGCGTTTCGTTATGTCCATTATAGATGTTGTTTGTAAATATTTGTTTAATAGGTTATCCATTGTATATTTTTTTATTTTTCATTAACAGATACGGCAAGAGACAAATGCACATAGCTGATGCCTCCGTGATCTTCAGAGAGAGCCCATTCTTCGAGCACAACCTCAATGACGAACCGGTCTTCAAAAACCTTGGCTATAAGTAAATACAATAAGAAATAAATATACAACAATATAATAAAATAATACAGGAGAAATAATACTGTTTCGTTCATTTACTTACTTGAATTATTTTGCTGTTTTGTTTTCCATATGCCTCAAAAAACATTGTTAATTTTCGCAATCATTTTCAAGATCAATACTTTTATAATTATAATATAACCACAGGCGTCTGAATACTACTAAAAGAAATTAAAATCAGTCTTATTAGTATTCAACAAACATTAAAAGTAATAAAAAGATATTTTCGTTAGCAAAATGTGTCTCAAAAGGATATCAATACTGTTTTCCTAAAATCCCTCGATAATTCAATATTTATTTAAGGAAAAATAAACTTAAGTGTAATAATATTAATTAATCCTGATGTTCTACAACTACGGTCGTGTGACTAGTATTACCCATATTTTTCTAGTTTCATTCAACAGATGTCGCTGCTAACTGGCTTGATAAGCTGATCAATTACCGGCCAAAATGATTAGCTACTTGATTTAAATAATTTATTTCTCACTCAGACACTAAGTTGAACAGTAAAGGGATTATAATCAAAACAGAGATTCACACAAATATCGTATGTTAGGTTAGGTTAGAACTAGAAGTAAAACCTTGGTGAAAAGCACAGATATCGTTTTTTTTTCTAGCCTATAATCTCCCTCTGGGCAAAGGCCTCCCCACCTCGCTTCCGCACTTCCCGATCTTTCGACCAAGTCCACTAGTCTCGACGATAGGCGTCTAGATCGTCGCGCCATCTTTTCCGCCTGCGGCCTCCATCCTAAGGTCTCCACTATGTGTCAATAGTGGCCCATTTCTCCGGGTGCATTTTAATTTTGCCGCCTTCTGGCCCACATCAGCGACTCCGATATCGAGATATCGTATTGCCGTTGTAAAAATAGCTACCAGAATTCTACTGTACATCAATATCATTAATTAAATAGGCTTGGCTGTTAATTGGCGGGAAGATTAAGTTAGTTGACAGTGACATATATGACATAATATAGTGATATTCTATTAAATTATACAAAAAAAATGATTTTTTTTCCAATATACATTCTAGTCAAATTAATACTGTTTAATTAATCTATGTAGTCAATTAAAATCAATTTTTGGCTTATTATCTTATTTATTAAGAATTGTGTCAAAAAATAAATAATAATTATTATAAAAATAGTTTGCAAGCTGGGTGTAAAACTATTTTTATGATTGATTCCAATAAATAAACAATATTATTATGAATACAATTATTTATTTTAAGAATAGATAACTAAAATAAAATAAAATTATGTAATGAATAAATAATAATAATTAATTAATATACAAACGAATGTTATTAACATTATTGTATGTAGTATTTATTCAAAATGCAAAATTGTTTCATGGCGTTCTTGTTTTATTGTTACTCCTTCTGAAATATGAAAAGACAGTTCTACTACTATTATTTATAAACACGAGTATTGGAAAGGATCAAATAAACAAATAAAAAATATCATCATCAGCCTGTAAGTGCCTACTGCTGAGCAAAGGCCTCTTCTCACACGGAGAAGGTTTGAGCATGAATCGCTACGTCTACTCAAGACTTTAAGTGTGGGCGAGCCATACTTCGACACGAATGGGTCGGCTCGACCGGAGTGATGACCTCACAGAAAACCGGCGTGAAACAACCACAGTGTTGTGTTTCGCCGTGTGAGTGAGGTTACCGGAGGCCCAATCCTTCCCCTCCCTCAATGCCTCCTCAATCTCCAAATCCCTAAAAGGTCGGCAACACACTCGTAACTCCTCCGTTGGGGGTGTCCATGGGCGGCACTGTGCTTACCATCAGGTAATCCATCTGCTCGCCGACCTATTACATAAAAAATGCTATTTGGCGATTTCAAACTTAATTTAGTTTGTTCTGTAGGGCGAAAATTGAACGAACTTGTTAAATGATGGTAAGCAAACGGCGCCGCCCATGAACTCCTTTTGGTACCACGCTTAATATTTATTTATTTTTTAATAAAAATGTTGCCTAACATTACGATTTTCTCATGTGCTGGGGGTGCGTTTACAAACATACAAATTCACATAGACCCGAAATCACCCAGACCCGGAACAACAATTCGTGGATCACACAAAAAGTTATTCCATGCGGAAATTCAATCCGCGATACGTTGACGTTGCACGGCAGTCTTAAATGTGAAACTATGAAAAAGTATAAGTAGGTATCCAGTTTTCCCCACAATGTTTCCTCCACCGTATGTCAGTGGTGTCTAAATAATCATAGAAAGTACATATAACTCGGAAAAAGTCACATTGGGACTTGTCAAATTTAGAAACCTCATGCATGAGAATCGAGAATCGAGAATGCCTTAATCTCCGGGCAACCACGACCTGCTTATCATAAAAGTTCATGGTTATAATAGTGTGGGTGCATGTCCCAACTCCACGCCTAAGGGCAGTTCAGTGGATGGATAAGTGGACCCCATAGTCCTGTCCTGTGAATGGAAACTGGAAACTAAGGAGGTAACACGAATATTATAAACCTCTTTGAAGATTATTTTTAAAAATAGGTAAGTTAAGATAAGCAAACAGTGCCGCCCGTGGACGCCCGCAACACCGACGGAGTTACGAGGGATAATATGCGTTTCGGATAGGGATGGGGTATGGAGAGATTGGGGCTACGGTAACCTCACTCACACGGCGAAACACGACGCTGTGGTTGTTCCACTCCAGTTTTTTGTGCGGCCGTCGTATCTCTCCGGTCGGGCCGACCATTCCTGCGGAGCATGGCACTCCCTCACTTATTAAAGTAAAACTAACAAAAAAATCATAAAAGATAAATCAACAATTAACACGTAGGTATATATATATATATATATATATATATACATGCTTACATAATCTGTGCAACGGCCGCCATTTTGAATTACCGCTCTCCAATTAAATTTTCCATTAAAGAGAGTGATCAAATGACATCTTGACCAAGTTATTGAATAATGAAGCGTAAATGTATGGAGTTAAAGTTAAAATTAAATTGCGTGGGTATAATGAAAATGTTTTAGAAGTGTTTACCTGACATGTTTAATGAAAGCTTGTCTGTAAGTTTGTGTGTGTATTTTTTAGGTTATATAAAGTGGTGATTTATATTTACTGCCTACTTTCCTCTTTAGGTTTTTTAATCAAATTAGAGGGTATAATTAGCGTAGCGACTGGATATTGATCTGCCTCGCAATCAATCCCGGGCTTAATTCTCTAAAAAAGGCAAATATGAATAAGCACTTATAAGTCTCTTCAAGTCTTTGGCCTTTTCATATACCTACAAATCACACCCAGACCCGGAATCACAGTTTATGAAACACACAAAAAATTGTACCGTGCAAGAATCGAACCTGCGACACGTCACACAGCAGCCTTTTAATCAAGTATTAAGCCAATCGTGTAGTCAAAAATTACTTAATCACATTTTAAGTGTAGGCTCTCGTTTTCACATTTTTGGTACGCAATCCTTAGAAAATACAAGGAGATCTATTTACAGAAATAACCAAAGATATTTTTTTTATGAAAAATAATTACACGCTCAATGTCCAAATCCTATAAACCCATTGCATAAATAAACGCAAACTTCCTCTAACACATACCCAAGAAAAATAAAACCAAATTTATTTCAATTAAACCAAAAACGAAACCACGGCACTAACTTGTATGTATATCACATTACAGCCAATTTAGAACACACCTTCCTAATTATAAAATAAGGTGTAAATTAGCTTAACGACTGTACCTGAAGATAAAGTATTATATATCACATTATTGCCAGTTAAAACTATACCTATTGAGATTGAAATAAGGTATATTTTCGTTTAATAACGAGGAGGAACGTTGGAACGTCAAATCGAAACTAAGTGGATTATAAACAGTTTGCGCGCGCAACTGCGATGTTGTGTTTTAATGGCGGACGGCGCTTTTTAGTTGGCAATATTTATTAGAGGAACAGGTATCTTGGAACAGTTATTTCTGATATTTAACTTATATTTTATACCTAATAGTAATACCAATGTATGTAAGTAAATTAATATTCTTATTTTAGGAAACGAGCATACGGATCACCTGCTGGTAAGTGATGAACACTACTACTGCATCACAAGATGAATTAAGTATAATAATAAATGATTCACACCTTCATTTAAAAAATTGGCGCCCAACGTGGGACTACCTAGTAATTGGCGCCCAGCAGGGTCTCAAATATTTTAGTTTTTCACTATCATATCTGAAATTAAACTATGTGAATAGAAAACGAGTTTGAGATCATTTGAGAAAGTATTCATTTGTAAATTCTACAAAAGGTGAGTAAAAGTTTACTAGCGCCCACCACGGAACTATTGTTATTTATTTTAATATAGTTCATATTATCATTTCTAAATCATCAAACATAACAAAAGACGTTTCACAACGTCTATGATTAAATTTAAAACTCAGATATATTCAGACACCTGTTACGTGAAACGGAACAGGTATTTTACTAAGAAACTCGAAGTCGACTTGAAAAAGCGCCTAGTGGTCGCTGTTCAGGAAGAAAGCGACATCACATATTTTTTACTCGACAAATTTCTATATTTTAAACTAAATATTAACCATTAGTGGATATTTTATACAAACATTTTCTACTTGAACAATATTTTTGAGAGAAAACTCTATTGTGGACGTGAAATTTTGTGAAAATTATTGTGAAAACATTTCATATCAATGTTGAAAGTGTACTTGTGTTATTGAGTTTATGATACTGTGTTTCGGTTCAATTTAACACGTAAATAATAATACAAAAGGTAAATATTATAATATATCTATATAATTTAATTTATTTAAAACCATTTTGGTAGAAAAATCGAGAATAAATTAAGAATAGAAAAATAAAAAAGGAATAAAATCAGCTGTAGGTACCTACCTAGTAAACGCGGAAGTCGTAAAAATACTTTTTAGGTCAATTCTGGGTTACTGGCTAGTGGACAAGAGTCCTTATGTTATATAATTATAATTTTACTGGGATATTCTATGAGATGTACCTTCTTGCATAATATTATATGATCCTTATATTATTATATGCATAAAACTACCTAGTGTCAATTAAATATTAAAAAATATATTTATAAGAGGCCAGCTTCTGACCTCGGCTTTTAACCTATCTATACTAATATTGTAAAGA